TGATTTTACTGTATTTCCTCCCAAATGCCAGGAGAATTGGCATCCCAGACCTTACGGAAGCAAGGGTTGGGAAATCCCTGGGGGTGCTTGTTAATATTTGTTACTGTCATGCAACAGACAGCAGGGGCTTCCAGGGACATCTTATACCCTTTGACAAGGGCTTGTGTTCAGTCTGTTTCTGCATCCCACCCTGACACTATTTTACTTTGCTTCGGACACCATGGATACGAAGAGGCACAATTTTTCCGAGGCTCACGCTCCATCCAGATGTTCAGCGCCTTGTGGATTTACAATTTGGGGCCCCTTCCACACCGGGATGCACTTGCCCTTGCCTTCCAGCGCCCCATGATTTCAGGTTAGAGAAAAGCTACAGCAAATGGAAACTATGGAGGGAACTTAAGAGGTGGCGGGGAGTGTGCGTGTGTGTGGTGGGTTGTGTGTGGGAGGCAGTGTGTGGGGAGAGTGAGGGGGAGTGTGGGGGGAATGAAGGGGAGGGGGAGGTGTGTGTGTAGGGGACACTTTGTTTCTCTTCTCTCTCAGCAGCATCTGGTCTGTTTGTACTCACAGGTGTCATGTCAACTGTTCACTCCAGCCTGGAGCAGCTCTCTTGTGACAGAATCACCAAACCCCAGAAGAAGGTGTGGACATGCAGGTTTCTAGGCTGGCTTTAGACAAAAGGAGAGCAAAAAGGGGGGGAGGGGGTAAGGGGGGAGGGGAAGAGAATGAGACTATATCTTTTGGAGAGAGAACAATTACTAATCTTTATTTTAACAGGCTGGACTCCAGGAATCTCCATTTTAGTAGGGCAGAGCCAAGGAGTCTGAATTTTCCATTTTAAATCAAGAAGTATTGTCAGACAGAAGGGTATATTAAACGTGTGTGTGAGATAAAAAGTAATTTAAAAAATCCACATGCGAACACTTCTCAACAGAGCACTAGCAACACTGGGAACTGCCGAAGTGGCTCTCCCAGGGCTTGTGTCCCCACCTGTCACCACCACCTTCAGACAGAGCATTGTCCTAAGTGTAGGGAACTTAAACTCCAGGCTGTATCTTACAATCTGTTGTTTAGCCTGTTCGAAAGTTTTATGTAAATGGAACCGTGCTTATTATGGCATGCCTTAGCTTTCATTCTACACAGATTGCAGGTTCGTCAATGCTGTCGCACCTCGTCACCATTTCTTCCTTTTCATTGCTGTATAGTATTCAACAGTTGATGTTCACAGGCATCTCCAGCTCTCCCAGCCCAGGCTGAGATGTGTTTCCGTGTTCATCAATAGGCTGGGTGTCCAGGAGGAAATGGCAGGTGACTTAGATCAGCTGAGTGCTGCAGTTCAACAGCTTGAGTTTGAAATCTGTTTTCACCATAAGGGGGATCCCTTTGTGACCTTGGGCACATTAATCCCTCTCTGCCTTGGTCTCCTCATGCATAAAATGGGGATAGCAGTTGCTATTTTGTGTTAGGACGATTAGTGAAATGGCACACAGAACGTGCTTAGAATGCTGCCAGGCCCACTGGAAGCTTTCAACACCCATTAGCCACCAGTGTTGCCAAACCCAGTACATAAAGTGCGCGCCCTCCATCCTCTGTGGCACATCTCCCCTCCCTTCCAAAACTGGCCCTTAGAGCGGCTGCCTGCACACACCCAAACCCATACCCCCAAGGGGGTTGAGGGGCATGGTACAGCACAGAATCTGTGAATTAAAATCCAGCACATCCAGCTTCCTGTGGGAAAGGTGTGGGGAGCTTTCTACTGTGCCCCCCTCCAAGTCTATTCTAGATGCTTCATGAGCAGCTATTGTAGGTGGCCAGTGGTCTGAACCCTGGCGCTCAACGTGAGCTCTGACTGTTGTACTTGTCTGGTTTTTGTTTTTGTGGTATTGGGAGATTGAACTCAGGGCCTCGCACGTATGAGGTAGGCATTCTACCATTTGAACCATGCCAACTAGTCCAGCTGTGCTATCTGTGGGTGAGGGTGGCCCCCATACTGACCTTCCAGACAGGCTCCTAAGGGCGTCTGTAGAACAGCTAGGAAGGCATGCCAGCACCCGGGAAGCAGCGCCCAACGCACCACGCTGCCTGTGTCACCTTCCTGAGAAATACCCCATCGCCAGGACTTCCCAGGCTCCCAAGAACAAGAAGTGACAGTGGTAGGAGTGGGAACAGGCTGCTTGTGCCAGAAGGCCCGGTCAGTCTCAGAAGGAAGGACAACTACATCTCATAGTGCATTGAGGAAGGGGGACTGTGACTCATCTTACCTTAGATTCTTTGTACGGTTCAAATTAGTCATGAGCATATACTGCTTTTACCATCTCTCAGGAAACACAAACTGTGCCCCTGCTTTTTGTCCTTGGCCGCAGCCCTGGAGTTCAGGTACATGCAACCACACGGGGACTAACCAGGATAGAAATCTCTGCCAAGGCAGAGCTGAATCAGGTCCTCAGGCAGGGAGACACCAAAGCAAGGAAGGCCAGGGATGGCCTAAGACTCATCAGGTGAATGGACCCTCATTCCTGTCACTATTAGAGGGGCAGCTGTGTCTCCCCCAGAGCTCCAGTGTCCTCATCTGTAAAAATGAGTGAGTCGGGGATGCAGACAAGAGCTCTCCAGTGAATTCCCTGACACTTAGGGCTTTTGGCTGAAGCCATTGAGGGGCTAGGGAAAGCCATTTCTGGAACACTTGCATTCCTCAGAACTTCTGAAGGGGCAGCCAGTCTCCTAGACTGGCTAGAGAGGGAGCAGCCATTGGGCCAGAGGCAAGTAGGGGCCATGGTGGGTTTACTCTGTCCATGATGCACCTTGGTGGGAATGGCTGCATGCTGCTCCAAGTTTGTGCCAAGGAACACACACTCTCACTTGGCAGGTGATTCCTTCTGAAACACATCATGACTTCTGAGGAGCTGGGTAATGCAGCTCTGCCACTCCAATTACCAGGCTCTCTGTGCCCCTGGCCCTAGTGCCTTGAGGGAGGCCTCTGGCCCCAGCAGCCTGCGCTTCCTCCTCCTCCCCCCAACCAGCCCACAGCTGTCATCTTCCTGATGAGCTGGAAGGCCATAGGCAAGGGGCTGCATAGCAGCCGATGCCACTGTTCATGCTGGCCTGGCTCCAGTGTAGATAACACATCCAGTCACCCTCAGTGCCCCTCACTTCCTCTCAGAGGGATGTGAGACATCTGGGGAGTTGGCAGCTGCTGCCTGCCACTGAGGATGGTGGTGAGGTAATTGCCATGCGTGGTTTGACCAGTGCCTCAGGGTGAAAGGGGCTCTGTGTGGCGCAGAGAGCTTTTCTGTTTCTCAGAGCCTCCAGGAGCACTTCACTGGTGTCCCAGCACCAGGAGACGAAAGGCCAATCTGGATTTTCTCATCCCAATAAAAGCATCTTTCATCCCACAATGGACTCCAGATCTGCAGGAAGACAAGTTCTTTCGCAGTTGATAGCCACCCCTCCCCCCATCTCAGGGGATTCCTTCTGAACCTGAAATGCTAGGGAGACAGACAAGAGTCTAACGGTGTGAAATGAGGCTGGTATGTCTGAGGGAGAAATGGGACACTCAGATTTGACAAGGGTTGACCCTGAAAGAGCAGCTGTCACCTGGCTGAAGTTTTCTGCCATGTTTGACTACCAGGGGTTCTCAAATGACAGGGCAATGCCTGTAGAAATGTGCTGCGTCTGTCAGGCAGCATGAGGAAGGGGAAGTTTGTCTTAATGAGCTGCCTGAGCATCAGGCCCTTAATCAGCCAGGTTAAAGAGAACGTTCAGTGATAGTCACATTAGGCAGCAACAGGGCCACCCCCACCCTCCTCTGAGATCTGGTCATGCTTTCCCAGAGCACCCTTCAGAGGGGAAGGACTGTGGAGCAGGGCTTCCCCTGGCATTTAACTATTCCAAAAGCAGAAACATGACAACTTTCAGAACTCGGGGTTTTTACCTTCAGAGTCAAAATGGCTGGCATTCATGACCCCAGTCTCATTCTTGTGAGACCAAATCCAGAGGCTGTGTCGAGGAACTCAAGTGTCTGGAATAGCTTTTGCTCTTGACTTTGAAATTTTATTACATAAATTTTACCTTTCCAAAATATTTCTTAGTATAAAAATGTATACAAGTGCTACAGAATCCATTCTGCTCAGATGTAATCACTACCATTTCTGTGTCCTCTCAGGTCATCTAGGCCTATCTGGGGACATATATACAGTAGAACTGCACCATCTAAAAGTGCTTACATTTTGCAAATTTTGCCTGGCCGAAACCAAAACCAAAACCCCCCAGTGTCAGGGTCATTGTACACAACAGCCATCCATCCTACAGCAAGTTGAGTGGGAGACTGATGCAAGGTTTTAGCTCTGTGGGAGTGCAATGTGTGGGAAACCTCTTCCTGTTAAGTCCCCACACTCATGGTGGGTGTATACCTGGAACTCGAGAAGTAGCGATCTGTCCCAACATTGCGAACAGATGATTTGGAGAACCACAAGGGCTGTAACATGACATCATCAGAGGTGTGTAAGAGCAGTTTGGATTAGCAATCATTTTGTCTTAAGCTCACATTAGGGCCCAATCCTTACTAAGATGACCTTACCGTCAGACATGGTGTATGTTCTCCATGTAGCTTGTCTTGAAAGTTGTTCCCATCAGTACATGTAGACCTATCTCATTCTTCAGGGGCTCTGTAAAAGGTACTTCGCAGCATAAGATGTATGGTCTGGTCATTAGAAACAGTTCTATTTTCATAACATGAGAGAAACGTCACCAAATAAAAAGGCAAACTAGGAACAAATTTACAAACCCAGGGCTGGGTGCTGGTGGCTCACACATATAATCCTACTTACTCAGGAGGCAGAGAGGAGAAGGATCAGTTTGAGGAGAGCCCAGACAAAAAGTGAGACCCTAGTTCAAAAATACCTAACATACAAAAAAATAGGGCTGGCAGAGCGCCTGCCTAGCAAGCGTGAGGCCCTGAGCTTAAATACCAATACTGTCCCCCCAAAAAACAAACAAAAAACAAATTTACAAACCAAGAATATAGCATTTTATTCATTTCCAGATTATGAGTACACAGCATATACATATATTTAGAGAATATATAAAACAAAGAATAAACCATAGGAAGATATATTGGTCTGAAGCTGCCTTGCAGGACATCTTTAATTCTGTAAGCTTGAGGTGAGTGGGTCTCCCCACAGCCCAGGGCAGGCAGCAGAACCCCAGCAGTCATGTGTCACTCAAAGCACTGCTTTTCTCCCACTGTACTTAACAATGTAATAAGCAGAGTCATGGCACGGTCACTGGTGTCCACGACAAGGGGCACCAAGTACTAAATGAGCCATAGCACAGTGAATTAACATAAATATGTCTCTTGCATTGTCCTCCATATAGTTTCCTTTTTAAACTAAGAGTCAGGTCCAGGGTGTAGTGCCCTCGAGTTAACATTCCAGTTATTGCTGAAGGGAAAAAACAGAGAAGAGGAATTAGTTTATTAGAAACAGATGGTCGGTGCCACCAGCCCCCTACCTCTGGGGACACCTGAATGGACACTGGGCTGTAAGGAAGGCATATGCATGTACAGCAGCACATGTACAAGCACCCACCACAGTGGTGGGAGACCTATCAGCTCACAAGGTCGTGGGGTTGGTAAAGAGGTTTGTGGAGGACAGTGTTCAAAGGAGGCCTGTGAACAGGACACAGTGGGCTGCCCTCAGGAGGGACAGGAGCAGTTGTGGAGGTGGACACAGCAGTACTTCACAGGTCCATCCCCAACTCGGTGCTAAGATGCTATAACACAAAGACTCCCCTCCCCTCCAAAGTGTCAATCTAGCCAGGCCCAGCAGCTGACCTCTAGACTAGAGCACTTTCCAGAACATGGTACCCCCAGCCCACTGTCTGCTTCCTCTTGTGCAGGCTGCCTACCTTTGCCTTGTTCTGAACTGGGAGGTACAGTTTGAACTCTGCCGGCAGCTCATCTTCTGAGTAGAGTCTGTCTGAGAAGTAAACCCGACGTATTCGACAGTTTGCATGGATCTGGGGAGACAAGACTCATTTTGGTGGGCTTGGTATGTCTGATTTCCACTTATGTTTCCTGCTCTCAGAAGCCCTCTCCTGGTACCATCACAGCTTTATCTCCAGTAGCTCCTTGGTTTTGCTTGAGGTGGGGGATTTGAGCAAGTGGGGAATCTGCCTGCTGAATTTACCCCTTATATTTGAGTATTTCCTGGACTTTCTCGAAGCCAAAGCCTACTAGACAGTGACTTGGGAACTTTAGCCAGAAAGCCATGCTGTTCTGTCACATGAGCCACAGGCAGCATCAGACAGGGCACACCCCAAGCCCCCAAAGTGGGCTCCATCTGTGAGAGGCGGGTACCTGCACCCTCAGGGTCTCAATGTAGTTTGTGCCATACGCTCGTCGAGTGAAGTCGGATAGGTTGAACTGGATCTGGTTCCAGCCATCGTCCAGCCGCATGGGCATGGTACAGATGAAGGGTTTGACACGGGTGGTACTCTGGTAATTGCTTGCTCGAAACCGCCGACGCACATTCTTGTCATCCAGTACCTGCAGAATATAGAAAGGCCATGTCAACTCCACCTTGGTGGGCTCAGAAGAACCTCAACACCCACAGCCTGGTTTTCCAAGACTGAAGTCCAGAGGAAACTCAGCAGATAAGAAGACCACGCACAGGTCATTCTCTGGACGCAGGTGGCGGGAAGTAGCAAGTCTATCTTGTTTGCTGCCAAGAAACCACCAGCTGCTTATGACATATGAGGTACCTGGCAGGCTCTCATACCATAGAATGAGTTCATGAATGCTCTTCTCTTTAAAATACCAAAAATACCAAGATGGAGAACAGTAATTCGGTGCTATTCCCCAATGGATGCTATGTTAGCCCGTAAGCTCTCAATTCGATTTTGTAATCAAGGTGCTTACCGTTTCTTTTAAAACCAGATGTTAACTTTAGATTATGAACCCCAAATTCACATCATAATAACACAGCTTCACTGAGCTTACAGCAGAGGCAAGAAAGTATACATACAAAAGGATCACAATACTTTCATGGTGTTACTTCCTCCTAAAGTTGGAAGGGTATCTCTTTGGGATAGCCAAGAGTGGACATGTTCATATACACACACTTACCTGTACTTCAAAGGTAAAATATTTCTTCAGGTTTTTAATAATCATAACGAGGAAAGGAAGTTTAATTCCCAGTGTCTTCTTGGGGTCTGCAGGACACGTGATATATGTAGTGCTGTAGGGAGGAAATATCAATAAACACACTAGTTGTCTTTTTTCCAACAACAAAAGAGGAAAAACTGGAAAGCAGATCTAAAAGGTTCAGATACATCATTCAGTGAATCCCTCAACTGGTAAGTCAGCAAATGTTTTTAAAAAGTGCTGGACTCAGGCCTGGCAAGGGAACCTGTAGTCCAGGAGGCTGAGGCAGGAAGTCTAGGTCAGCCTGGGCAACGTAGTAAGATCCTATTTAAAAAAACAAATTCTGGACTCAGAAACAAAAGCTTAACACAGTACCAGACACCAACAACAAAAAACATCTGAAAAATAATGCCACACCAGAGGAACTTAGGAAGTTCTTTCGATAAAGACAACTTCAATTCTGGTCAAGAGATCTATGAAATGATAGAAAACCACAATGAAGACCACTGTGGAACTGAAAACCACACTAGATGATCAATACAACCCTCTCCCACACTCTGGGCGAAATGCAGTAATACGGCTAATACTTGCATTGTGTTTTCTATGTGCTAAGCATGGTTCTCACAATAAGCTTGTAAGGAAGATGTACTGTCACTGTCCCAGTTTTACAGATGAGGAGACTAAAGCCAGGGGATTACAGAACCCGGGGGGTAAAGTGGCAGGGATTGGTTCACAGATCTGACTCTGCAGCCCATGCTGCTAACCTCCAGGGCACCCTGCCTCCTTGGGTTGCCTCAAGTCTGGAGAAGATAGCCGGCAATCTACCTGACATTTGTCCCTTCAATCTCTAGCACCAGGGACTGGATGTCATTATCAGTGATTCTTTTGATATGGCCATTTCGCACCTACAAGAAGGAAAACAGGAAATTTAGTTAGCTCTGAAATACCTGTCATCAACTTTGTAAAGATTTTAATGGCTGAATGGGACCATTTAAGGAAAACCACCTTAGAAGTCTGACACAGTATGTCAGAGCCTGGATATAAGAAAGCTGCTATTCCCTCCACAGCATCCCACCAACCACCACGTCATCTGGCAGTCTGTAAATCAGGATCAATTTCTTCCCAAAGAAATCAACTCAACATAATTCAGCTAAAATTTACTGTGGCTACTCTGTACTAGGAATGTTCATATACATTCTTATTTAATCTCCATGGCAACAACAAAAATCATAAGGCAGGTGGCATGACTTCCATCTTATAAATGTGAATGAACATTGATACCCAAGGGCTGCAAATGACAGATCCTAAGCAGGAGACTCAGAGCTTCCCAGATCTTCCACCTCCTCCCTTAGCCATATAGATCAACGACTCACTGAGCGCCACTGAGAAGGAGGGTGGCAACCAAAAAGTGAAAGTATTACTCCCAGCTGGGTATGGTAGCACGTATCTATAACCCTAGCTACTTGGGAGGGTGAAGGACAATCGTGAGTTCAAGACTAGCCTAGGCAACATAGTGAGACCCTGTTTTAAAACAAAACAACAACAAAAAACCTCCCATGGGTCTTAATCCTATTTCAAGTTTCCATCCTTATCTTTTCCCCAAATTTTATACTTTTTCTTTCTTATTTATTTATTTGCAGTACTGGGGCTTGAACTTAGGCCTATACTTTGAGCCACTCTACCAGCCCTTTTTTGTGATTTTTTTTTTTTTTTTTTTGAGAATAAGGTCTCACAGATTATTTGCTCAGGCTGGTTTTGAACTGCAATCCTCCTGATACCTGCCTCCTGAATAGCTAGGATTACAGGCGTGAGCCACTAGTGCCCAGTTCCAATTCTATACTTTTTCAAGTATGAATTCCAGTCCCATCTGTGCCACATACAGGCATCTTTCTTCAGCATTTTCAGCTCATAGACCTCTCTTTTCTCTGATTTGTCTTTCTGGCTCATCATGTCCAGACTACATAGTTTAGGTACATTAAGAAGAAATCCGTACTGAATATGGATTCCTTCTCTCAAGATATTTAGGAACAAGTACTTCTAAGCACTGAATTCTTAAGCACCTAATATGGACAGAGCAGAGACATGCAAAGGTACTTTTGAGACAGGGCTGATCATACTAACATATGGTAAAGATTTAGAACGGGGTACATGAGAAAGACAAGAGTGTGAAAGTACCTGTGTGGGCTGTCATATTCAACAACAGCTGACTAAAGCGTCCCTTCACCAATGACCAGCCTTCTGATTACAATTTTGCTTTCCATTAGATTTGTACAAAGGGAAACCGCAGTGTTGAGTCTGATAGTTGTACTGTTCAACACAGAGGATCAATAACATGGCATTCTGTTGTTACTGAGTGTGAGCCACTCATGGTATCCTTGGTGTCTCCAGTGACATGTGATACCACTGCCCACCTTTTTCTACAACTGCAGTTGAGTCTTATCTACTCCTAAAAGTATGAAGCTTCAACCAAAAGTAGGGATCACGTAGTAGGCATCACTTTTCTTTCCCACAATGCTTAGAACTGTGCTAGACATAAACTAAGCATTCAAATACGTGCTGACTTCTGGAATCTGTCACCCTAAGAGCTGGCACATCCGAATAGGCTCAAGGAGGTTTTAAACATTCCTGGATAACAGATCCCCTATGAACTATTATAGGAAGCTGGAGATCCTGGGGAGCTTCACAAAACCCACCAGGTACCAGTGTGAAGAATTCCTTCCCACAAAGCATCCTTTGGCGCCATTGTCAGAGATGGAATGCTGGGCTAGCTGGGCCCTCAATCTCTGCCAATGTAGCATTTCTTGGGTTCTCAAGACATAAATGTCACATTGAAATACTTCTCAAACAATGCTGGTGACATTCAGTGCCCTCCTGCTTTGAATTCTGGGCTTCCTTCCAAGGGAGATTAAGAGCACAAAGGCTCAAGTCTATGTAGAGCATGCCAACACTGCCCACTTCGCTCTCCATGCAAACGCTCCCAACCAAAGCGGAATGTTCCTCCTAGATTTTCTGTGGAAAATCAGGCCCACTTGTTTGTGAAAGAATAAATAATCAAGTTATTTCCAAATAATGTGATGCAGTCCTACTGATAGGAGCTAGCAGTGTTCCAACAAGGTGCAAGCACTAATTTTATAATCTTCCATTAATTGTTCGCAATAACAGATATTCTAATTAGGTGAATCTGGTGACTGCCAGCGATAGATGGCTTGCTATTTTCCCAATACTGTTTAAAAGCATGCCCTCAAGCCTAACAGCCCCAAAGAGCTCTCAGGCCCTAGTTAACATGAAGGTACCCTCCACTCCAGAAAGACCAGCCAGATCTCAGGGAGGGAATATATAGAGCAGATGATCCTGCACCGGAACCCTGAGCAAGCCTGACCCTCACACTGCATGTGAGCCAAGGAACCAGGCTGGAACAGGCTCTGTGGCATTCCTGGGCCTCCACCCGCCCCAGAGGCAACCTCCTTCTCCCTGGACTTTCAAGAAGGTCCTACCACGCTTGCAAATTTACACTTACAGAATGAATTAATGTACCCTTAAAGCAAGACAATTCAGAGGGGAAAAGACAGTTGTTTTGAAGGAATGCCAATCGGTCTCTCTAGCATTTTAATCTGGCTAGTGGTGAGACAAACTAAATAGAGCTTTGCCCAAGGAGAAAGTTCAGCTCCCACAGGGAGAAAACTAAATCCTTCCATATCACTAGTTTCCAGAGCTCTGTACCCAAAATAAGTTGAATCATGACTTTTCTCCTTTGTAAGATTAAAAGGGCTGCAATACAAACTCAAGAGTAGGGTGATATGAGGAATCAAGGTTAGGAGTGTCAGAGGATGGGAGACATCCCAAAACCTCTTCTCTATGCTCTAAAACTAGTAGCAAAGGGGACAAGGGAGTGGGCAACTCGGGGAAAGGCCCCTGAACACCCGGGCAATCACTAAACTAAATTAACAGGTTTCTTGCATTTTAAGACCAGCTTCTCACAAACACATATAACATCAGAAAGCATCAATTTCCTTTCCTTTGCTCCTTCCGGTTCAGAGGTCATCTGGCAGGCCTTTGGGACTTGGTCCTCACAGTGAAAGTACATTTTATTTTACTTCCCTCTCTAAATCAGAATAAGCAGATGCTCTTGACTTGTTAATTCTTTTTCATTCATGATACATTCTTCCTAACAAAGTGTGGCCTATGAGTATTTTATTCCTTAAAAAAAAGGTGTGTGGGGACTATTTTTTTTCATTTCATTTTTATTTTCTTCCACCCATGATCTGAAGGTGTGCAGGAGCCTCAGAACCCAGGTAACTGGCAATTACAGATCAGAATAGTCCTCAGCCTCTACAGACACCAAGAAAGGAACAAACATGCCAGGATGTCTTACACACTCTGGAGCTTTCTATGGTTGCTGGGGCAACTAATAAAGAACACTGGTTTTTTTCCCCTCAGTGTAAGCCCGAGGGAGGAGAGTCACAGTGAGGGGGAAAATACTATGGGGACAGAGAGGAAGTCTGCTAATGCTAGACATTTCTAGCATGCTTTAAAAATAACATGAGCTGTATCCATCCCCACCCCTCCCCCCACTTTCATTTTTCTGGCTCCAGCCACTCACCCTGGCAGGCAGGCAGCTGAACCCTCAGCCATCTGGCATCCTTGTCTTAATGACACATGTTCCATGTACATTAAGCCATTAGGGCTGTCTGTCCATTGCAGCCAGCAAATGTCTACCCCTGCCTAGGGGCGGGGCTCCAGATCAGAACACAGGCAGAGGGTGCCCTCTGTGGGGAGAACAGAGTGTACTTCACTCCCAGAGGCTCCATGCCTAGGCCTTTAGGACTCTCCTTTGGCTACACTTTACAAGGACTACTGAACGAGAACTCCTGCCCTCATCCAATTATAGTCAAAGCTATTATTCAAAATAATGAATGTCCTTTTACTACCTTTCTGTCCAAATGCACTCAATTCTACTACTGGAAATCAGACTTTGCTCATTTTCTAAAATTAGGAATGGGGAATGGCAATTGAACACTATTCAATGACAACATCAACAAAAGACTGATGCTAATATTTAGGTCAGGAATAGGGGAGAAACAGCAGCTGCTGAGAAATGGATGAGAGGAAATGGAGAGCAGCTTCCACAGATTTAGACAGCAAAGACTAAAAATTATACCATGTTTTGTGTAGGTATGAGAGGGGACAGAACCTACCTTACACTCTCCTTACAAGCTAGAATGATGTCTACATTGAAAATAACAGTTCTTTAATAACTGTAAGATTTGTTGGTCCCAGAAGTTAAGGGAACATTAAATAATCCCTAAACTGGGTACTCATGCCTGTAATCCTAGCTATTCAGGGGGATTAAAGTTCAAAGCTAGACCAGGTAAATAGTTTGCCAGACCCTATCTAAAAAAAACCCATCACAAAAAAGGGCTGGTGAAGTGGTTCAAGGTATAGACCGAGTTCAAAACCCCAGTACTGCAGAGGGGAAAAAATTCCCCAAATTTCTTCTAAACTTTTGGTTTGAAAATTTAACAAAAGTCTCCATCTGGAAACTTAAGTTTACCCAGATTCTTCTTTTTTCTGATGGTACTGGGGATTGAATTCAGGACTTCATGCTTGCTAGGCAACTGTTCTGCCATTTGAGCTACAACCCCAGCCCTTTTTTTATTTTTAAATCATTTTAAAATTAACATATATTAATTGTACTAAGGGGCCTCATTGTGACAGCTCCAAGCATACACACTGTCCTTTATTTATTTTTTTTTTTAGGTAGGGTTGTACTAACTTTGCCTGGCTAGTCTAGAACTCATGATCCTCCAGTCTCCACTTATCAAGGGGTTGGTCTTACAAGCAGAGGGCAACTCCAGACACATAGAAACCACCCGTAAGTTACCATGCCTTTAAAGGCCAAGAGTGACCAGAATGCTACCAGGTCTTAAGCTGATCTGAAGCATGGTGAGAAGGAAGCAGAGGTCCAATAAGTGGATATAAATTTGCTTAGCCTGCAAGGTCAGGAAGGCCTCTGAGGAAATACTTTTGAACTGCAATCTGAACACTCATGAACACAAGACCACCAAGTGCAAAAAAAGTTTCAGGTGAAAGACAACGGATGGCATTCAGTGGGAAGCTGCTGCTTAGAGGGAGAGCCTGGTGAGGTGAGCCTGGAGAAGTAGCTTTGCAGGCCTCAGACTAAGGGCTATGTGGCCCAAGAGCCACATTAAGGGTTGCAGAGAGGGAAAGCCACAGTGCAATGATTACATTATTCTAATTGCAGAAGTCTGGCTTTGTGGCACCTAAATGATGGGTCAGTTACAGACGTATTAGTGGAAAGCAGATCCTCAGTTCCCTGTCATATTTAATACTATAAGCCATAACTCAGTTGCTAAGCATTTTATATGTATCTTCATTGCCACGAGTGAATAAGAAAGCTAGTGAAGCTCCTGTCCACAGTCACACAGCTAGAACATAGGACAGCCAGGATGCAATCAAGGGTGTCCAATCACACCCTAGCACCGGGGTTTCAAGGAAGTTACTATTCTTCCCTGTTAGGACCTTGCAGTCCAGTGAGCAATACACGACGGATGGGAACGGGCCATACAGGGGGACAGAGAGCTACAGCAGCTCTCTAAATGACACCTTACATAAAAGTGTGTGAGACTGGAAGGATGAGATGGGAGGAGGAGTGGCTGTAACTTTCAAAGTGTCTGATAAGTTGCAGGTATTACCAACATTAACAAGCAAGTCACACTCACAAAAGTAAGGTTTGCAAATTCACTGGTATTGTGAATATAGCTTTTTGTCTCACATGAGGAGACACTGAGAATGAACAGAAGCCAAACCTAATTTTCAAGATTACTGTTCATAGAAACCAAATAGAAATTCTCTATCTAAACCCAAAAAGAATAGGGCTGGCTCAAGTGGTGGAGGGCCTGCTTAGCAAGTGTGAGGCCCTGCGTTCAAACCCCAATGCTGCCAAATAAATTAATATTAATAACTCAAAATAGGCACCACACTACTGGCAAAGGTCAGAGCCATGTCTAGGTAAATATGGGCAGCCCTACCTACCCATGAGGGCAAATTAAACTTTGCCCTCTTTAAAATTCTGCCTAACCTGGGAGCGGGGTGTCTTCTCTGACTCTGGGTTTTCCCAAGTCTACAATGCCTGAAATTTAGATGTTGCTCAAATCTTTGATAAGCATATCAATTTCTAGTGTTACCCCAAATGGACTGGTTTCTCAGTCATGTTCTGAGAACTTTATAAAGTAGCCAAGAAAAACCACATGTACAAAAAAGCCCATGGATGTGGCCCCAAGCTTTCCTTTTTCTGCCCTGTACTCTTCCCCACAGCAGGGGAACAAGCTTCCCTAAACACTCTCCAGTCTAGTCTAAATAAGAGTTAGAAACACATAATTAACTTTTGTTATTGTGAGGATTCTTTTAGTTTTCCTTTGCCAAAATGTCTGCCTACTTTACTCCATGACACCCTGCCAGTGGACCTAACTATGCTTTCACACAGGCTTATGTCATCAGAGTACCATCCAACCTCTAGTGGCGTTGTTAAGGGACAGTGCATTATGGTTACTTTGCTTTTACATTGTGTGTAAACATGTTGACTAGTCAAAAAGCCGCATTTCGGGGGGGTTGTGGGGGAAGCACACACCACAGAAGATCAAAACCCAGAAGGGTTAAAATAAAAAGCGTCACCTAACAGAAACTGAGGCCTCCCTGCCACTGCAGCTCTTCCAGTGTAAGGTCTCTGACCTGTCTGAAGGAATACCTTGCCTTATGTCAAGTTCCATTCTCTGTGTCAACTGCCTTATACTGATACTCGTGAAGTTTAGTTTTCAACTTCATTGGCACATGGGGCTGCTCTCTCCATGCCTTCTGTCTGCCCATAACCTTGCTGAGCAGCCTCACTTTGGGTTTTCTGAAGAGCTGCAGCTTCAGAGTTTACAAAGTTTTATTCCTTTGTGAACAAACCACTACAACTAAAAACCTCAGGAAGATAGGGAAAACAGTTACAGAACTGCTTTTCTATGTAATAGTCAGGGCTTGTGGATGAATCACTTGAAAATGTTGATCACATTGTTTCCAGATGCAAAGGCCCAACCTCATTACATTCTGATCTGTGCACTATCTTGTGCAAATAACACTATGAACATGCCTCTCCCCAGGCTGATCTCCCAACACAGAACTGCCTAGCCCTACAGGCAGAAGGCTGTCCATGTGCTCTCCCAACTTGTGTGGCCCTAAGCTCTCCTCTGTGGATAAGGGAAGACACGGAGTTGTTCTGGGATGAAATCCAAAATTCCCAGCTTCATTACCAATCAACTCGGCTTATTTAGACTATTCCACATGCACCTCTCTACAGGCATGGCCCAGCACATCATCTCTCTCCATTCTCCCCCCTTTCCCCCAAACAGGAGGGTAGAACTGATGACATTCCCTAAATCACCAGGCTTCCACAGTATAGTGCTCACCTTAACTTATATTCAAAAATTCAGAAGGCTGGGAATTTTCCTGAAAAATGACATGCCAAACTAATAAAACGCAGACCAACTCAGATAGCTAGATCTTACTTCACATCTCCAAAAAGTGGACAGGGTCATCTTCTCTCTGGTGTTGGTGAACATATCATCTGAATAAAAATACTGAGGCTTGCGCCTGGTTCGCTGTTTATTAAGCCAGACAAGACTTGGACCATCACCAGTTTGCAATTTTCCTGATGGAGAAATCCAGTAATGAAGGAACAGTACAGACTCCAAGACACACGAATTGTGGAGCAGGTGCCAAGCGCCACCGAATTCTGGTTTGTTTGGGGTTAGTAGAGGAAGGAAGCAAATGAATGAAACCCAAACATCACTGGCTTGGCCCGGGGGTTGCTGGCTGTGCCTGAACAAGGGCTCTGTGTCTAGTGACCAGCACAGTGCCAGGCACAAAACAGGACATCAGGAAACACTGGTGGAACCCACGAACAGCAGTTCCTTTCATCTGTGCGTCCCCAAAGCGTCCTCACATAACTGCGCACTTCATGCCATGGACGGACACTAATCGACCCCATTCTACTGAGAATGAAACCGAGGCTCGGAAGGGCGGGCTGGGTGAACACCATCCTAACCCCACACCAGCCACGCCCACCCCACACGCGCCCCTCTCTCCAGCTTACACGACGCCCCCATCCGACGCCCTCTGAGGGGTCGGGGCACAGCAGCGGCCTCCGCCCTTTCCAGACCCCAGCTCGACGCAGCTATTCCGGTTCCCGGCCGAGAAGGGGGCGCAGCCCTGTACCCCGCCCGCCGCTGCACCAGCACCTGACCTTCTTGTCCCAGATCTGCAGGGGCTTGCTGCCGATGCTGTAGAGGATGGAGAGGAAGCCGCTCTGGAACGTGTTCTTGAACATCTCGCCGGCGGCCTTCTCCGCAGCCTCCCCGGAGCCGCCCTAGGCCCGGGAGGGGATAGCCGCGCAGAGTGACGAAGGCAAAGGAGGGACCCCCGGTCCGAAGAGGGGACACCGAGTTCCCACCTGCAGCCACCGACCGCCGGGCTCCGACACGAGATGCTACGTTCACAAACCTTTTTCCTCACAAAACCACCCGGCTCTGAAACCACAGCAACTGCCGTCCTCGCCGCTCTTCCGGCCTTAAAAGGAGGCGGAGGACCGCCAGCGCTGAAGACGGATCCCTCCGCACACCTGAGCCCGCCCCGCGCAGCGCGCCGTCCAGTCCCGCCAAAGGGCGCTGACTTCCGGTTCCTTCCGCGCGTAAGCCCCGCCCTCTCCCCCGCCCCCTGGCGGAACGAACTCCGTTTCCGAGGGACTATTTTCCTTATCGAAGTCCCAGATTTGCTTCAAGATAGCGGAAGGAGACTGAGTACTAGACAGCACGTGTTGTTGGTGACTACGTGATGTCATGGGAACGAAGCAGAGGTGAGACGAGGCGGCGTGACGACCAGGCCCCGCCCCCTGGAGGGCCGGAGGAGGTGACTGGAGCGACAGAAAAGGGGAGAGGTGGTTAAGATGGCTTTGCTGAGGCCCTGCTTACTGGTATTCTGCGAACGCTAAATGAATGCTTGTTGGCCCAGCACAGGGTAAGGCTTCGGCGGCGAGCCAACAGTACTGAGCGCTGCCCTCGGCGCCTTTCGTTTGTTAATGCGCTGGGGATGGGATGCAGTCAAAGCGATGCTCTGAGGAAAGTGTATTGCCTTAGATACGTTGACTAGAAAACAAGAAAGCCTCAACATTAAGATAACTGCAGAAATTAATAAAATTAAACAAAATAAAGTTGCACTGGTTGGACTGAACCAACAGCTGATTCTTAAAAAAAAAATCAATACCTAGAACATTATAGGAAAGACATAAAATAAACTATGGTATTTCCAGTGTGGAAGTAAATCCCAAACGTTGGAGAGTGGGCACCAATCCAAATAGTGTGTGTGTGCCTAGGTCTGTGACAGGAAAAGTTTGCAGCTAACACCCTCGTTTTAGCATTTTGAGCATTTATGATATGTGAGCACCATATTAAATGCCTAACCTGCGTTAACTCATTCAGTCCTCATCAACCCTTAAATCTACCCAGAATTTCTAGACACTGAGGGAGAATGTATGAATTTATTGTAGTATAAAGCTAGAACTTTTAGTATGAAATTGTTGTTTTGGGATGGCTTCTGGGAACTTTAGGGCAGGGAAAAAATTTATGCTTTGTTATTAAGTTGTCCAAAATAACCTCAAGAAAAATGTTTATTTAAGAAGAGAGAAAATAAAACATAAAGGACGAGAAATAACTTTAGACAAATTACTATGATAATGATTATTCAGATACTACATACAAGTTTACCCATTTGAAATTTTACACGAAATAAATTATTTTCTAACAAAATTACCAATAGTAATGCCCAGAAGTAAAAACCAAATAGCCAATAATCACAGAAAAAACAAAAGTAGTCATTGATCCCTCCTTTCTGAACGTTTTGAGTCTATTTTATGCCAGTTTACTTTTTGCTGATTAATGTAATACAGGTTATTGAGGAAGCTATGAAAAATAACATTCAATCACTCACAGTGCCACCTCAGAAATACTTATATGCATCTGTACCACATCTGTTCATCTATTCATGTTTTCCTGCCTTGGCCTTCCCACCTCTTCCTTCCCTCATCCAGTCCTGTATACATATATGTTGATCTCCATAGGAGCTTTGTTTCTTAAATGGTCACATACTGACCGCATTATTCAGCACTATGGTTTTTAAGATACATCAGTTAGCCAGTGTATATCTACTCCATTGCCTGTAACTGCTGTGTAGCCCTGCCAGGCATTCTTCTGCCATGTTTTGTCTGTCCACCTATACATCCTATACACTTATACATCCTATACGTGTCCCCTTAAGAACCTATGTGAGAATTTCTTTTGCATACACACCCAGTATCAGCATTTCTAGGTCATATGCACATGTGCTGAATTTGATTTAGTGGTTCTTTAAAATCAAAATTGTGTAGTCACATAACAGTCCTATCAACAATGCATGAGAGTCTCTGTAGTCCCACCTACATCCCAACACTGGGCATCATTTTACTTTCTGAATTTTGCCAGTCTAATATATATATAATGATAGTTTGTTTTCATTGAATTTTTGAATACTATGCTGGCTCATCTCTTCATAGGCATTTTACTTTATTTTTAAATGGCCTTTTTGTATCCTCTTGAGGTTCCTTTTTGTCTTATTTATCTGCCACAGTAAATAGGATCTCTAGATATTAATCTTTTGTTGGTTTTAGACACTGCAAACATCTTTTCTCAATTTGTCATTGTTAATTTTATCCATGCTGTCCTTCACTGGACAGAATTCTTTTTTGGGGGGTGCAGTGCTGGGGTTTGAACTCAGAGCTTCATGCTTGCTAGGCAGACACTCTACCACTTGAGCCATACCTTCCAGCCCTTCTCTTCTGGTTATTTTGGAGATAGGGTCTGGTGCCTGGCTGACCTGGACCACTATCCTCCTATCTTACACTTCCTACATAGTTGGGCTATGTCCAGCTATTGGTTGAGATGGTGTACCCTGAACATTTTGCTGGGGCTGGCCTTGAACCAAGATCCCCTCCAATCTCAGCCTTCTAAGTAACTAAATTTATAGGGTATCTGTATTAAGATATCTTAATATCTGACAGGTCAACCCCTTTCTTTTTTTTCTAAAGGCTAATTTGTCTAATATTCATCAATCTTATTCTTCCACTTAGATTTTACAATAAATTTACTGAATTTCTCAAAAATATTAACTGATGGGCTGGGGGTCTGGGTCAAGTGGTGAGTCCTTGTGTAATAAGCACAAGGCCCTAAGTTCAAATTCTAGTACTGCCAAAAAAATTAACTAATTTTGATTGTGATTGCACTGTAATTATAAATTATCTTAGGAAGAATTAGCATCTTTATAATATTGTCATTCCTTCCAAAATATGTACTATATCTCTACTTTTATTAAGGTCATTTTCTAAATCTTTATTAATGCTTTAAAATTTTCTCCATGGAGGTTTTATGTAGTCTTAGTTAAATTACTTCTTAGATATGTAGACTTTTTCTATTTTTTTTTGTGTTTTCTTATATCTACATCTTCTTAGATATGTTATATCTACTTAAATATTAGAATTTTGTTGATATTTTGAATATATTATTTTAAATTATACTTTTTTGTTGGTTATTGATAGTACTGAAAATGCCTTTAATTTTTCAAAGTTGATTTTGTATTCAGGCATTTGTTGAACTTTTTAAAAATTATTATTACTCTTAATTTTTTTGAGGGGTTCTATGCAGATGACCCTATTATTTGTATAAGTTAAAAGCTGTGTCTGTTTTCTTCCAATGCTCATACATCTTATTCGCCACATTGAGCTCCATATGCAAATAACCACCTACTCAACTTCTCCCTGTGAAGGGCTAATAGGCATTTAAAATTTTTTTTTTATTTTACTCGTGTATACATCATTTGGGCCATCTCTCCCCAACCCCTCTCTAATAGGCATTTGGACATTTTGTTTCTGTTGTTGTACTGAGCCATTACTTTACTAACAGTTTAAGTGATTTCACAGATGTTCCTCAAGTTATGATTAATCTCCCAATAAACCAATGAAAAGTTAAAATGCATTAAATCTGCTGGCAGGTGGCTCAAGTGGTAGAGCACCTGCCTAGCAAACATGAGACCCTGAGTTCAATCCCCCAGTATTACCAAAAAAGAAAATGCATTTAAGGCTGAGGGTGGTGGTACAAGCCTATAGTATGTCACACCCATAACAAGGAGAGCATATTGAAGCCCACCAATCAGCAGCCATTGGGGTACTTTTTCCTGGGGGCATTCCTCAAGGATGTTTTTTTCTTTGCAGTGTTAGGGTTTGAATTGAACTCAAGGCCTACACCTTGAACCACTCCACCAGCCTTTTTTATGATGGGTTTTTTCTAGATGGGGTCTTGTGGACCATTTGTCCAGGCTGGCTTCGAACTGTGATCCTCCTGATCTCTGCCTCCTGAGTAGCTAGGATTACAGGCATGAGCCACTGGCACCTGGCTAAACACTTGCATTGTTAAGTGGGAATGTGGTATGTGCTGAATCAGTGAATCGAAGTCAGGGAACTGGGGCTCCTGGCCACTGTAGGGCCAGCACAGGCTCTTTCTCCTGGTCTCAGGAGTTCGAAACCCACCTGACTGACAGAGGCTCTCTTCTGCTCAGAATCAGGGCCAGCCTATTCCGTTCACCTGCCCACAAAAGCTCTGTGAAGTCTCTTATTGTATTGGGTTGTTCTCATACGCTTCCCTCATTAACCATGAAATTGCCCCAATTAAAAGCCTTAAAAGCTTTGAATAATCAATAAACCTGCTGATGGAGTAAAGTCTTCACTTCTCCAAACCACTCAAACTGTCTTCAGGAACCATATTCAGCTCATCCTTATGATGGTCTTTCATGTTTATTGTGATCAAGGTTTTGGCTACCATAAAGACAGAACCTAAATGAATGGGTTTGCTCCTGTTGTGGCTTGGATTTGGCACGCTCCCTCCTTTCTGCAAGCTCCTAGGACTTAACCCAGTACCCACTATCGCAGTAGGCCCTCAGTGACTGGATGGATGGGTGAATGGATGGGTAGCCACGTGGCTAATCAGACATGTACATTCACTTTTTAAGGTAATGTAGACCAAATTAATCTAAAACCCTAGTGTCTTTTGCAGACATCTGCATTAAATACTTTAGTTCTAGTATATTCCCTCTGTCAACATGAAGAACAAATTATGCTGTGATGACAGTGCTGATTTTCTAATTACACAGTAAGAATGTAGTCAGATAAAAAGGGGATCAACAAAAAGGGGACAGATTCCAATGAGGCAGAGTACTGACTGCTGTCTGGGCAGTGAGTGAGAATGTTCAGTTGATGCAAATCAGGCATTGAACTTGCCCGAGAGGTAAAATGTCACATCAGGTGGAGGTATGGAGTACTCCTGGGAACCCCATTGCCAAGCTTGGGGTTGGCATTCATGAAGTTACCCAAACTTGCAGTTTGGGTAAACCATCAGAGTAGTACCCAGTTCCATGTCTGGCCCAGAATCAATGACCATTAATTTATCACTGTCCTGAGCTGCAGCTGGGTATGT